AGAATATTTTCAATGGTATTAGATATTAAATCAGGCCTTACAATAAATGTAAACGATATTAAATAACGAAAGGGGAGATAACAAGGTTAATTAGGATCAGCACTTGATCAGTCGGGCGAGCTGAGGTTTCATATCACGGTGTCTACTAAAAGGGGAGATAATTCACGTTTAGAGTTACTGATAGGGTTTCAAAGCAACTATTTCTATGCGTGAGATGTCGGCTGGATTAAAATTAATCAAATTTTAAATTAAAATTGGTACTAATTGTTTTTAAATCTAATACCTCGATTTAATCCTGAACTTTTGCAATAGGTAAATACGTTAGTTTATGAAAAAAAGAAGTATTAAAAAAAACAATTTTAAAACAAGCAATTAAATGCACTAAAGATTAGAAAACGACACATTTTTTCTCCAGTAAAATCATTAGTTACTGGAAAAAAAAATGTCTTTTATTTATTTTTAGTTTCAGAGTATTTTAAAGCTCATTATTACAACGTTAAAAAGCATTTTATTTATCAGATAACTAAAACATTCAACCTTTCAAATTCATCCCATTTGAAGATTAAGAACACCACCCCATCCTCCAGATGTCACTAACAGTAATCCATGTGTCACTAATGTCATCATAAGCGGTATAACAAAAACAACTCACACTAGACATTTCGAGATTTCACTTTTTAAAATAATGTTCCCGAGTGTATGGTCTAGAGGTCAGGTAACGTTAACACAGCTCCACGCTCCAGCTGATGTTCGTAGTTTTCTAACCTTTGCATTCATTTAAACTGGTTGGTAAAGTGAGCGCTTCTTTTAATTGGCTGGGAAACATTCACTGCACGCCTTAAAGTCACACTCTCATGCACATAAACCGGTCAATGTTTACAAAACGGAATCTGTTTCTCGGGTAGTGAGTACACCATCCTGGTTGTAGAGATTATCCAAGAAAATTACCTCTTCTAGTACATTCCAGCAAAATATCACCCCGAGCTATCCTAAGCAACCTCCCCCGCCCCTTTCATCTTCCCAAAGATGTCACCTTAGCAACCCCCGGCGGAGAAACAGGACGTGACGTCACTGCCGGTTAGAAAAGAATGTCGCGACTTCTCGAGACAGGACGTTGTCATGGAAACCAAATATGGGCCTAAAATACCAGAAATGTAACATTTCTCAGACATCTGCCCCACACTCTCGGGGTGGCGCCACACTCTCGTGGTGGCCCCACACTCTCGTGGTGGCCCCACACTCTCGTGGTGGCCCCACACTCTCGGGGTGGCCCCACACTCTCGCCCCACACTCTCGGGGTGGCCCCACACTCTCGGGGTGGCCCCACACTCTCCACACTCTCGCCCCACACTCTCGGGGTGGCCCCACACTCTCCACACTCTCGCCCCACACTCTCGGGGTGGCCCCACACTCTCGCGGTGGCCCCACACTCTGGGGGTGGCCCCACACTCTCGGGGTGGCCCCACACTCTCGCCCCACACTCTCGGGGTGGCCCCACACTCTCGGGGTGGCCCCACACTCTCCACACTCTCGCCCCACACTCTCGGGGTGGCGCCACACTCTCGGGGTGGCCCCACACTCTCGGGGTGGCCCCACACTCTCGGGGTGGCCCCACACTCTCGGGGTGGCCCCACACTCTTGGGGTGGCCCCACACTCTCGGGGTGGCCCCACACTCTCGCCCCACACTCTCGGGGTGGCCCCACACTCTCGGGGTGGCCCCACACTCTCCACACTCTCGCCCCACACTCTCGGGGTGGCCCCACACTCTCGGGGTGGCCCCACACTCTCGGGGTGGCCCCACACTCTCGGGGTGGCCCCACACTCTCGCCCCACACTCTCGGGGTGGCCCCACACTCTCGGGGTGGCCCCACACTCTCCACACTCTCGCCCCACATTCTCGGGGTGGCCCCACACTCTCCACACTCTCGGGGTGGCCCCACACTCTCGGGGTGGCCCCACACTCTCGGGGTGGCCCCACACTCTCCACACTCTCGGGCCGGCCCCACACTCTCGGGGTGGCCCCACACTCTCGGGGTGGCCCCACACTCTCGGGGTGGCCCCACACTCTCGGGGTGGCCCCACACTCTCGGGGTGGCCCCACACTCTCGGGGTCACCCCACACTCTCGCCCCACACTCTCAGGGTGGCCCCACACTCTCGGGGTGGCGCCACACTCTCGCCCCACACTCTCGGGGTGGCCCCACACTCTCGGGGTGGCCCCACACTCTCGGGGTGGCCCCACACTCTCGGGGTGGCCCCACACTCTCGGGGTGGCCCCACACTCTCGGGGTGGCCCCACACTCTCGGGGTGGCCCCACACTCTCGGGGTCACCCCACACTCTCGCCCCACACTCTCGGGGTGGCCCCACACTCTCGGGGTGGCCCCACACTCTCGGGGTGGCCCCACACTCTCGGGGTGGCCCCACACTCTCGGGGTGGCCCCACACTCTCGGGGTGGCCCCACACTCTCGGGGTGGCCCCACACTCTCGGGGTGGCCCCACACTCTCGGGGTCACCCCACACTCTCGCCCCACACTCTCAGGGTGGCCCCACACTCTCGGGGTGGCGCCACACTCTCCACACTCTCGTGGTGGCCCCACACTCTCGGGGGGGGGCGCCACACCCTGGCAGACGACCAGACCAGACAACCTCGCCACCATTGGGTGATGATTCCCTCTAAAGGTCAGCGCTAATCAGCGATGAGAAAATTATTCTAATTTCAGCAATTAAGGCCGATGACTGAACGTGCATTGTTGTCCTCAACTTGAGAAAGCTTTTAAAACCACGTGACACTGTCGAGTTCTAAGTGGTTTGATCCTAGCTTCGAATGTGGAACAACGAATTGCACGAACAACGAACTACAGTCGACGAACAACGAACTACAGTCGACGAACAACGAACTACAGTCGACGAGCAAGGAATTATACACTGACGAACAATGATCTCAAGTCTGAAGAACAACGAACATTTTTCGTTTTTCTTTGTCCAAGCTGGTGAATGTAAGCGTCGAATGGTGAGAAAAGACGTGTTGAACTTAGTGGTCCGGACAATACAATTGATTCTTTATATTACTGGGGCTTTTAAAATACTTTCTAGCATTAAGTATGCCGCTAATTCGATTACTAGCTGCCAGCTGTTACTTTAACTTTAACACTAGCTGTTACTTCGACTACTGGTTTATTGACATGGCATACTATGTGAACCCAGAGTACCATTCAAACGAACGTTAAACATCTCAAGTAAATCACATACAGTCCACCAATAATAATCATTAAAAAAGTTTTTAAAAACCCACGTTTTCTGATTGAACTAAAAAGTAGAAAATAAATACTATACATCACAATAATGCAAGCGATCACTCTACTATAAGCAATGAAAAACGTGGGGCGCCGAAGTAAAAGTTATATTACTATTGATTAGATAATACTATTGACTTTTATTAGGGAGCTTGTAGAGAGTCAACAGTATTAGAAACTGTAAGAAAATCAAGGCGTCCCACGTTTTTGATCGCTTATAGTAGAGTGATCGCTTGCATTATTGTGATGTATAGTATTTATTTTCTACTTTTTAGTTCAATCAGAAAACGTGGGTTTTTAAAAACTTTTTTAATGATTATTATTTAAAAAGTTTTTTTTAAGTATTTTATTTTCTCCTTTTTAGTCCGTTGCTACACATGAAAAACGTGGTTTTTAAAAAAGTGTTTATAAATACACGGACTAAAAATCTTGAGCGACCAGGATTCGAACCTGGGTTGTCGCGGCCACAACGCGAAGTACTAACCGTTATACGATCACGGCCAGCGCGCTCACATCGATTGGGGCCGAAGTAACTGTGTCAGTAGGCCTCAAGTCTTGTCGGTATCTTTAGAAATCATGTCCTCAATTTTATGGTCCTTGGGGCGTAATTAAATTAAGCTAATTACGGTCACTAATTGCTAGTTTTTATGATTGCATCTGAAATTGTTAGGCGAAAGTAGCATGCATGCCAAATTTCAGGTCTCTAGAGCAATCAGAAGTGGGCTAATTTTCGATGTCAATTTTAACAACAAACATCCAAACAACCAAACAACCAAACAAACAAACGCGAAGCTGAGTTAAGAAAAACGTGTTAAAAACAGAAGATTGTAGTTGTGGTCACACTATTGTTAGTTCTGTTCACAGTTAGCGAGTGACACTTAACTACTTTAGGCAGGGTGTTGTAATAGAGCTATTTTTTTATGTTTACAAATTATCAGTTAAGACAAACTTCATTTTGGTCCAACCAGAGCCCCTACCAGAGCCCCTACCAGAGCCCCAACCAGAGCCCCAGCCGGGGTTTGTTTAGGGCTAAATACTTGATTATTTCATCTGCTGTTCTTGCTAGGATAAGCTGCAAGTTTTACGTGCTAGGCTTACTTTATAGAATTATAAATAGAAAATATCAAGCAACCTGATACTAACATCTCTACTGTATGTGTGTGTTGGGGAGGGGGGGGGGTATAAAGTGTAATTTATATGGCTACTCAGTGACCCAGGTTAACTTCAAGTAATATAATTCAACTCCACCAACTGAATACATTAGACGGACGTTCACCGTCTAGATACTCCTATAAAAGTCATTGTTTGTGATGGTACTCTTTGGTCCAGTGTAGGTGTCCCAAACGTATGTTAAACTTTTGGTAGCAGAACTCGTTAGGAGACACTGGTATCTTACAGGGCACTTATTTGGAGAATTTTCATTTTCTCTTTTAGTTTTTATGCTAAAAAATGGATTTGAAATTCAAATCAAGTGCAATTTACGATAAGGGAAATGTGTAATTATGTTACGGGGGACGGGATTCTATGAAAATAAAGGGCTAACGGTTGTGTTTTGGAGCCCGAAAAAAAGTTGCTTCCCTTGCCTCCTGCAAGTGGGGGGGGGGGGGGGGGGGGGGGTTCAGGCGCCCGTGGTGATTGTCGCCCTCAAATTACCCGCATTGAGTTAACGTCCTTTTGTGTTTTCTGTCACCGGACGAAATAAGGTTAGGGCCCGCTATTCAGTGACGTCACAATCTGTTCATCGACTGGGTTCCCAGGTTCAGTGGCGTCACGAACCTGTTCATCGACTGGGTTCCCAGGTTCAGTGGCGTCACGAACCTGTTCATCGACTGGGTTCCCAGGTTCAGTGGCGTCACGAACCTGTTCATCGACTGGGTTCCCAGGTTCAGTGGCGTCACGAACCTGTTCATCGATTGGGTTCCTAGGTTCAGTGGCGTCACGAACCTGTTCATCGACTGGGTTCCTAGGTTCAGTGGCGTCACGAACCTGTTCATCGACTGGGTTCCCAGGTTCAGTGGCGTCACGAACCTGTTCATCGATTGGGTTCCTAGGTTCAGTGGCGTCACGAACCTGTTCATAGACTGGGTTCCCAGGCTCAGTGGCGTCACAATCAGAACCTGTTCATCGACTGGGTTCCTAGGTTCAGTGGCGTCACGAACCTGTTCATCGACTGGGTTCCCAGGTTCGGTGGCGTCACGAACCTGTTCATCGACTGGGTTCCCAGGTTCAGTGGCGTCACAATCGGAACGTGTTCATCGACTGGGTTCCCAGGTTCAGGCCAGGTTTTTTCTAAACGGTTTTAACAGTGGACGGAGGAGGCGAGATGTCTAAAGTACTGTCCGTTTGGGCTACACTTCTGCTTGTCGTGGCTACTTTACTGTCCGTTAGGGTTACCTCACGTTCAGTTATGGCTATCTTTTGTGTGTGATGTAGTGGCTACCGTAGATTATTGACTAATTAATTAATAGATCAGTTAACAAAACAACCCTAATCGTTCTACTTGTGAAATCGGCGTGCCCAGGTCAGTTAAGCTCATGGTTGCTAAACCGAAAAGTCCCTAGTTCGAACCCCTGGCAGATGAGACTCGAAGGCTAAGGACAGCAACTCTTCTTAGAGAGACAATTCCAAAAAAACTAGTAACAGGGCCGTATCTAAGGCCCTCACCATCCCGTCTAGATAACCTTGACACAAACTCCCCTCACACAAGCCACTGCCCTCACACAAGCAACTCCCCTATAGCCTATCCACCCCTCTCCTAAAGCATACTCCCCACAACTCTCGCTACCCACTCTCCTAAAATGGAGCCACCCCACCCTATACCTTCCTCACCCCCTCCCTTACCATTGTGTTTAACTTCATGCAGCAACAAGTTACGCTGATCACTGAATGTAAAATCTCAGCGTCTCTACCCAGCGGTATTAGAGATTCTCTTCCTAAAATCTCAGACTGCAGGTTGGTCTTCTAAAATTGAGATTTATTTATTCACAAACAGCCCACATCAATAAAACTAAAGTGAAATTGTTATTCACAAACAGCCCACATCAATAAAACTGAAGTGAAATAAACGAGCATTAATCAAAAGGTGACTGATTAGAACGAACTTATCAAAACAATTTAAACTAAATGTTAAATATTTTGATATAAAAGATTTTCAAAAACTATTTGCTTGCACCGAATATATTCAGCCATATTAAAGTTAGAATTTAACACATTTGAAACAGTTTCTAGAAACTGCTGCTAAAAAAAATATCATGCCTACCCTCCGGTCCAAATAAAATATTTTAGCAGGACATCCTGACCAGCAAACTATTACTGATTTTTTTTTTATAGTTTTTCTAATCGATTTTCTTTCATCTAAAAACGTTAGCTTCGCTCATTGTTTTCTTTTGTTTACTGTTTACCTTTTGATTTATTGTTTTCCTTTGTTCAATTTTTGTCTTTCATATCGATGACAATTTTCTGCATCTTGAGAATCTGTCGTCTTCTTCATCAAAAATGTATGATGTTTACTTGGTGTAAAATGATTTCTTCAAACCTTAAAGCTTATTTTTATAGAAATATAATCTTTTCTCATTAAATGAAAACGTAAAAAAAATAAAAAGTCATTTAGTAAAAACTTCAAAGGGAGAAAAATCGATCAATTTTTCTCTATTATGAAACGCTTCGTTTGTTTAGCTTTGTGTTTTTAAAATGACAAACCCGTCCGTATTTTTAATTTGTCGCCTTTGTCAGATTTCTTTTGTCAGCCTCAAAAATGTGCAATCGTTGTGAAACAAATTATTGTGTGTTTCTAGCTTCTGAAAAGATGACAATCCATGATCGTTCATGTGTGGGGATGACTTTATGAAATGTAAAGTTTTCCAGGTGCATATGACTTGAAATTAAATTCATGCAATTTTAGCAACGTAAACATATTTCTTTTTTAAATTTAGAGTTTAATTCAGTACAAAACTTGACCAGGCATATCGAATTCATTTATAAATATCTTGACCTCAAAGTCTTACAGTTGGTCGGTCAGTTTGTCTAGCTAGAGGGAAAAGAGAGGGGGGGAATAAGGAGGGGGTGGGGTTTTTTTTATAATTACAATTACAATCAATTAAGTAGACTAGTATTTTAAATAAATAGTATCATATCTTTTAGTAAGCAATTTTCAACAAGAAAAATTACTCGTATGTTCTGACATAAATTGAGCGAGTGTGTGTTCGTACCTCTATGTCCTAGGTGAAGGCCACGTCGGTCGTTTTTTTTTGGGGGGGGGGGGGGGGAAATTAAAAAGGGTGTGGGGGGAGGGCGTGAGGGTCAGTCGCCACACGCAGCTGACCCATGTATACGGCGAAGTAGTGGACTCGTGTTTTTTTATTATCATTTTTAGAAAACTGCTGTCTTAACCTTTATATGTTAATTATCTTTTAAAGATCTTAGTCATGTGATAATTACTTTCAGCTACAGTTTCTTCAATGCCGTTTGTTCATCCGTAGCTTTCAGCCCTCCCTACCCCTCCTACCCCTCTGTACTACCTTAACACTAGTCTACATCTACAAACCCTCCCCCACCCGTAAGAACCCCTCCCTGACTTTTATTTGAATTGATGCGATTTGACGAAAACAAATTGTCGACACCACTGTTTTGACTTAAAGTCATAAAGTCAATAGTTCTCGTCGCCAGAACTGGTCGAATGTGCTGAGTCACCAATTCTATACGCTACTTGTATTTGTCCTTAAAACGTTCATTATGTACACAGAAAAGGCCCTTCCTTATATAAACACTTAGATAAATTGTATTGACCCTTTACAAAATTCTAATAGAGGGTAGACCGAGAAATGTAAGAAATATCTCATGCGAACTAAGCAGATTGCGTGAAGATCAATTAGAATCTGTGGTAAGCCATCCGTGCTTAATTGCTCTAACGATCTTCGGTTAATTAAACTCTTGGATGCAGGTGTAAATAATCACACAATGGCGACCTAAGACCAGGTAAACAGAAGCATTTTGTTACATTGGTTCAGATGTGATGACGTCATACAGCACACTGTGTCTGATCCACAGTTGGTACAATTATGACGTCATACAACACACAGATTTTTACATGTTTTGTGTACTGCTGATATATGTCGTGTCCTACTTTAGTTAACAAAATGTAGTCCACCCACCCCCTGCCCCAAAGAAAAAAAGTCTGAAAGAAACACTGCTGTCAATTCTTTAAAACACTCAAAAACAACTGTCAACTAGACTCTAAACACCTGAACACACATGTGAACTAGCCTTTAAAGTTTAAACACCTAAACACACTTGTCAGCTTAAATCAGCCTATGAAGAGAACACGTGACACAAAAACGAACGCAGCCTTATATAACGACATGATCTAAATATAACATCAAAGCTACGTCACCTGTCAAACATAGAGCAGTAAATACGTCTATGGAGTAAAAATAGTTAGGCCCTGCGTCATCGGGGTAAAATAAAATTGAACATTTTTATATTTTTTTTATATATGTTTCACTGGCTGTATTGTGTTTAGCATGTTAACTGACATTAGAAATTTGATGATGTCAGTTGATAATGGCACTTTCAGATAGGCTTAAAAACTCGTACAAACTCCCCTCGATAACTCGACACCACTAGTCCCCCCAGTAGACCCCATTGACCAACTTGACTTCTCTAGTAGACTCCCCTGATAAAAACCAGACTCCCTAAACAAACCAGACTCCTCTGGACAAACTAGACTTCCCAGTCTAGACTCCCCTGACCAACTAGATTCCCCTGACAAACTAGACACCACCCCTGACAAATTAGGCTCCCCCTGACCAGCTCGACTCCCTGACTAGCTAGACTCCCCCCCCCCCCCTCTGACAAACTAGACACCTACCCTGTCAATCTAGGCGCATCCCCTGATAAGCTAGGCGCCTCCCCTGACAAGCTAGGCTCCCACTGACAAGCTAGTCGTCTCCCCTGACAAACTAGCCCCCCCCCCCTTCTGACATTTAAACCTCATCACCAAATGGACCACATACTCATCTTGCATTTGCTGGATGGCGCTGCTTCGAGCCGTCTATTTATAGCCCAGGCCAAGCCGCTTATGCCCTTGTACAGCGATAACAAACCTAATTCCATTTTTGTATTACCTGATGCCCGTGAAAGCGCCGTGTTTATGCCCAACTTTCACCAATAAACGTTTGAAGCTAGCTTAGACGGGAATAAATGGCTTGATGCTTTTTGTTGGGAGAGGAAAGCCAGAGTTTGAAATTGCTCTCCGGACAGGACCAATCGATGTTTCCACTAGCAGTGTACGTCACGCAGGTGTATTTAAAAAGATACACTAATTAAGTGATGCAGGTGCTTTGTTGTCATCAGTACTGTAAGGTGTTGCGTTGCTGGGGTCAATGACAACTTTCAAACCAAAAACTAAGTGTCCAGTGGTAAACTACACTTTCATTTGGGTAGAAATAAATAACGCTGTAAAAAATCATAAAACTTAATAAACACGTGTGTATCGTTTTCAGAGGGGTACAGCAGGGATAAAAATAATTGGCGAAGTTTAAAGTCAAGTCCATCACAACTTACTAGGTAAAATACATTAGGACAACTACTATTATCTTGGTGGTGAAAAAAACATTATGCCAACACGTATTAAAAAGGCGGCGAAAGTACATTCGGCTAACAAGAACCGAAGAAGCCATGAGACCATAATCATCCTGCAAGAACTAAATTGGCGGTGAAAATCTGTTGGGCCAAATCGAACCGACTTTGTCGTGAAGATAGATTCATGACATCCTTAGAGAGTTGAATTTATACATCCGGTTACCCATAATTCATGGCAGCACAACACATCCGTCAAATTATCACGTGTCTCGTCTCCAAAGACGTGTTTCCGGTTCTTTAATTTCAGTCGTCTGCCCGTACAGATGATGTCTAGTCTTTGAGAACGTCAGCTTCTGACAGGGCGAGTCACGCGTAATTGGGTTGCAGGTATTGATGTGATGAGGTCAAGGTTGGACGTGAATCAAAAGTTGGCACAATACCCAACACAGTCTGAGGTTATATGGCGAGTTCTTTCAGAGGCGGTTCTTACAGTTATTACCCCACCCCATCATTTTTTTCACTTACATAGAGTTGCCCCCCCCCCCCTCCCACCCCCCATTATTTCACATTTTTGGTTGTCGAACCGTTCAGTCTAACGTTGTGGGTCTCATAAGACATGTATCTGTTGGCTGTAGCTGTTGGCTGTAGCTGTTGGCTGTAGCTGTTGGCTGAAGCTGTTGGCTTCAACTGTTGGCTGTAGCTGTTGGCTGTAGCTGTTGGCTGTAGCTGTTGGCTGCAGCTGTTGGCTGTAGCTGTTGGCTCTAGCTGTTTGCTGTAGCTGTTGGCTGTAGCTGTTGGCTGAAGCTGTTGGCTTCAACTGTTGGCTATAGCTGTTGGCTGTAGCTGTTGGCTGTAGCTGTTGGCTAAAGCTGTTGGCTTCAACTGTTGGCTATAGCTGTTGGCTGTAGCTGTTGGCTGTAGCTGTTGGCTGTAGCTGTTGGCTGTAGCTGTTGGCTGAAGCTGTTGGCTTCAACTGTTGGCTATAGCTGTTGGCTGTAGCTGTTGGCTGCAGCTGTTGGCTGTAGCTGTTGGCTATAGCTGTTGGCTGTAGCTGTTGGCTGTAGGTGTTGGCTGAAGCTGTTGGCTTCAACTGTTGGCTGTAGCTGTTGGCTGTAGCTGTTGGCTGTAGCTGTTGGCTGTAGCTGTTGGCTGAAGCTGTTGGCTTCAACTGTTGGCTATAGCTGTTGGCTGTAGCTGTTAGCTGTAGCTGTTGGCTGAAGCTGTTGGCTTCAACTGTTGGCTATAGCTGTTGGCTGTAGCTGTTAGCTGTAGCTGTAGGCTGTAGCTGTTGGCTGTAGCTGTTGGCTGTAGCTGTTGGCTGTATCTATTGGCTGTAGCTGTTGGCTGTAGCTGTTGGCTGTAGCTGTTGGCTGTAGCTGTTGGCTGTAGTTGTTGGCTGTAGCCACTAGCATTAAGTGATTTGCTCAAATATTTAACTCCCTCTGTTTGTTAAACTTCATATAAAAGCCAATTTTAAAACTCCACTCTAAACTGGCATAAAAACATTTGAATTTCTCCACGTTACAGTTCCCATTTTTCCAGTTGAAATATTAAAAATTGAAACTAGAAAGCTGAGATCGGCTGTGAAAGGTCAAAATAAATTCAATAGCTGGAGACCTACATAAATATAAGATGCCTTAAATTAAATGTGGTGTGTTACATGTTGTGTTGCTGTTCCGTCATTCATTTGTTTGGCTGTTCCGTCATTCATTTGTTTGGCTGTTCTATCCTTCATTTACTTGGCTGTTCTATCCTTCATTTGTTTGGTTGTTCTATCCTTTATTTGCTAGGCTGTTCTACTCTTCATTTGTTTGGCTATTCCGTCATTCATTTATTAGGCTGTTCCGTCATTCATTTGTTTGTTCTATACTTTATTTATTTGGCTGTTCTATCTTTCAATTTTTTTTGTTAATTCCACCATCTAAATTTTTCACTGCTACGTGCCTACTATGTGTGGCTGTTCCATCCAGTTTTTTTACTACCTTGGCTGTTCTACCAATCATCAGTTACCGTCCCAAGCTCCGCAAGATGAAAGAAAATTCTAAAACGGCTAAACCCATCAAAGACGTCCTCCGTCCAGGCGGAATTTTCGGACTAATGGCGAGCGACGGAAGTCGGTCTTTATGTCCCCGTTAGAATGAGAGAGTGCGGAGGTGAGGTTTGTTAGGTAGGTCGGTATCATCCACGTCTGCTCGGCTCCATCAAAGACAAGAAAACCCATCAAAGAAAAACTAAGACGTCAGTTGACTTTTTAAAATTTCTAAGTTATTTTCAGAAATTAATATTTTGTCTTACTTAAATACTTTTTTATTAAAAAAATGTGTTTATTCTGCAAAATAAATCCGAGAATTATAGCTACAGAACCCGCCCCCCCCCCCCACACACACACACGCACACAGAGAGACACACACACAACCCTTTAGAAGTACCCCCCGAGACACATGAGGATTTAAATCTTTCGTTAAAAAATGTCATCCAACTTTATTTATGCTAATCAGATAAACACCCCACATAAGTTTTCTGTCCCCACAAGACACGGATTATCTTCCCCCACACACGTTTTCAGCCCCCACACAACACAAATGATCAGCCCCCCCCCCCTCCCCCCACCCACCTGAGTTACTGTCGCCGAGTTCCCACCCACAAAATCCGCCCTCCTCAAATGTCTTTTCGTCAATCAAACTTGACTACCGCCACAAGTGGCCACTATCTCTCCCCTCCATCCCCTCCCTCGCCCCCACTCCACCCCTCCCCTGTCTCAACTGATTATCGATTAGGAAATACGAATGCGATCGGAACTCTTTTCTCGTACCCCGTTTAACATTAATTTCATCAAATTCCTAGCCGGCGCTATTCAGACTCACACAGACGTTGAGTGCATTATTTCATTTCATTTTGTAAACTTTTTAAATAGATAGGCCTGCCAACTCACTGTAACGAAAAAATTAATTAGATACAAACTCACTGTAATAACAACCTATTTCAGTGCGAAATAGGTAAATAATTTTCTTCTTTGAAAGCGTGTCAAATATTTCATATCGATGTTTTATATTGATCATAAACTACTTCAATTGAATAGATTAATTGAAATTGAAATTAAACAGATATTTTTAATAATATAAGTGCATTTTTTTCTATAACGTAAGGTGATGTTATACTGCCAAGACGCATTACGTTTTTTTTACCGTTATCATTCATTATTTTCTAACGTACTTGATCTTGCCTAAACTATGCCGACCTTTATTTTCTAACATACTTTGATTGGTCTAATCTATACCAGACATTCATTAAAGCTGAGATGGGGTCCAGTGATACCACTGTGTAAAACCACATTAACTCAATGGGACCTGTACTGCGAATACACAATACAAAAACTGTGTAGTTAGGTAGCCAACAAAAAATTTGCCGACATGAAACTATACCGAGTCTACAAGCCAGTGAAGCGAGTTCGAATACCTCGGGCACTGAAGCTTCCATTTTCTGAGCATCTGTTTGCCAGCGTGCATACGTCACTCTCTTGTTGTCACAGCGCGTTGATCTGTCCCCACCCCCTCGTCCCCTCTCCCAGCAGTGCAAACATTGAAACGACTTGTAATCAGAGGCCCTCTCAATCACGTGGACAGCGATCAAATCTCAGCTGGGCAGCGGGCTCCCCAGACAACTCCTCCCCCCCCCCCTCCACGTGGGGAAATGGAGATTTTAAGCTCCCCAGACAACTTCCCCCCCCCCCCACGTGGGGAAATGGAGATTTTAAGCTCCCCAGACAACTTTCCCCCCCCCCCCACATGGGGAAATGGAGATTTTAAGCTCCCCAGACAACTTCCCCCCCCCCCACGTGGGGAAATGGAGATTTTAAGCTCCCCAGACAACTCCTCCCCCCACCCCCCCCCACATGGGGAAATGGAGATTTTAAGCTCCCCAGACAACTTCCCCCCCCCCCCACATGGGGAAATGGAGATTTTAAGCTCCCCAGACAACTTCCCCCCCCCCCCACGTGGGGAAATGGAGATTTTAAGCTCCCCAGACAACTCCTCCCCCCACCCCCCCCCACATGGGGAAATGGAGATTTTAAGCTCCCCAGACAACTCCTCCCCCCACCCCCCCCCCCCCACATGGGGAAATGGAGATTTCAAGCTCCCCAGACAACTTCCCCCCCCCCCCCACGTGGGGAAATGGAGATTTTAAGCTCCCCAGACAACTTCCCCCCCCCCCCACGTGGGGAAATGGAGATTTCAAGCTCCCCAGACAACTTCCCCCCCCCACGTGGGGAAATGGAGATTTTAAGCTCCCCAGACAACCCCCCCCCCCCCCCGTGGGGATATGGAGATTTTAAGCTCCACAGACAACTCCCCCCCCCCACCCGTGGGGAAATGGAGATTTTAAGCTCCCCAGACAACTTCCCCCCCCCCCCACGTGGGGAAATGGAGATTTTAAGCTCCCCAGACAACTTCCCCCCCCCCCCCCCCCCACGTGGGGAAATGGAGATTTTAAGCTCCACAGACATCTCCCCCACGTGGGGAAATGGAGATTTT